TAACGTTTTAGTTGATGTGACCTTTCCCCCACTTGACCCAAGTGGGGGAAAGGTCACATCAACTAAAACGTTAAACATTCCTACACACGCACACACACACACATACACACCCATTACTCTCCACCTCCGAATATTGACCTTAAACTGAGCCAATGGCTATGATTATGTAAGAATTTTTTCCACCATATGATATGTAAGAGCATGACTCGGAATATCCGAAAACAATTGTTCGCTCACCGATTCGTTTTCTCAATACTTGACGTTACTGATGAAAACACGATATCAGGACCATTCACAGCAATTTAAGTGATTATCGCTTTAGGAATAATCAAAGTGCAGTCGAGTGTTTCCGAGCGCTTTCTAGGTATCAATTACATGGGAATGAATAAAACCGCCTCAAATGAAACCAATGACGGTCGCTGGCTACGCATCTGTAGTTTTGTGATGAGTCCCAATGGCAGAATTAGGTGTTTGAAAGATTGTAAGCCCAATCAATAGTTAGACAACTGCACTAATCGAAATGTATGCAGCAAGATAGCCATGGAACCCTGTTGGTAAAAGTGCTCCAGTGTACCTGGAGGGTGAGTTCTGTACACACTTATAACACACTTTTACCCTGGCTGAAGGATGATAATTTCTGAACCGTAATTTTTTAATACCACAACAACCCAACGTTCACACCAAGCTACCACCAGTTGAGTAGCTGAATGTTTTTTGGGTTCAGTCAACCGATTCAAATACAAGAAAAGATCATTTTTGCAGTCAGTGTCGACCAATCACTGCTTGTGCTCTTCCGACAACAGTATTACTGGTCAAATAAGAGCACAATATTTACTTCTTGATCCAAGAACTATATCACGTGCGTTGCATCACAAAAGAAAGCCTTGTCAGGATTAAAGTGATTGTAGAAATTAGTGGTAGCGGTACGCGGTCGGAATATGAACCACGGAACACAAGAGACAAGAAGAACGAATTAAAAATTTGCAATCACAGACTGGATCAAGTAAAGATTGGACCACACTAGCACGATCACACTACATTCCACGTAACTGGGACGCGAGGACAAGGCCATAGTAGTAGTAGTTCTTTCATTGAAAGAAATAAAGTGAATAAAATAATATGAACGAGGTAGATTCATTGGTTATCTGAGCTTCTACCAATCGCGTTCCAGAATTCTTGGCATTTGATGGCTTCTATCTAGACTGTACGGTATCTGATTAGCTGGTACCATCTACCTATGGCATGTGCTCAGAAGCAGTGGGGCGTACGCGCTTTATTGACGTCGCACGTGACGTTTGGTCGCAGTTGTCCAAAAACTGTAGCGCGTTGTACTAGGGTAGGCTTCATCTTGTAGGCACGGGTCGTCACATGTATTCAGGCTTGTGTTCACTTGCAGAAATGAGGATTATTCTACGAATTATTTAATTGGAAAAGTACTATTCGGTTGTGGCAAACGTGTAACACTCAATCTTTATCTTGGACCAATCGGATCACATTGGTATGCGGATGTGTAGACCTAAAGCGTTGTTTGATTTTCTCATCGATAAATCATCTAAAACTTCAGAGCTCGTTGACAATATAGTCTGAATAAAATGAACCAGACGAGAACAGAAAACCGAGTGATGTACTTTATTGCGATGCCAGCTCG